ATATATATATATATATATTCCAGGTGCCATTGTATTCGTTTATGGAATATACGGGAAAATGAAAGATCAGAGCACAAGAAACATTTCGAAAGAAAATTTTTTTTTTTTTTTTCGAGAAATCTGCGTTTGGCGCCGAAAGCTTTTCGTCAGCGGTGGCACAAGTTACACTCCGACTGCAAGTAATATTCTCCGTTTGCATCGTGTCTTTCGTCGCCGTTGTTGTTTGGCTAACACACTGGATGGCTAAGAATTACGGATTTACGAACAGCAAGCGGTGCATCTCAACGATCGATCAAGCGTTCGCTCCAGAGGTTCATCTCTCTTTAATCAGTTAATCTCGTTATGTACATCCGTTCGCCGGAACGAATTGTTTTCCTGTTCTATACGTTCCAAGAGTAGTGTATATATACTGGTTACCTCGTTTCGTGGACAGAGGGGACTGGCGGCGGACCGGCGGTCGATCTGCAAAGTGCAAATACATATCGTGGCGCGATCCACGCGCGCGAGACTTACTTCCCCCGCGAGTTCCGCTTGCCAATAATCAAGAGGAAAGTTTGGACAGTGTCCTCCAAGCGTTACGAGAAGGGCCGTGTCTCAGTTGCCAAGAAGCTAGTTGGTAAAGAAAGGCTTGGCTGCTGTAAACAATGGCCGGCGGGAGCCGATCAACGCGGAGCCAAACGCGTAGAAAGCGACGGCGGCTGGTAGATCGATCGCGCGCGAATCGCTCGGAGAACGAGATCGCCTGGTTCCTGGCAACCGGCACGCCAATGAGCATCGCGAAACTCGTCCCCCCCGACCAACTGGACGTTGCCCAACCAATTTCCACCGACGCAGAAGCTTTCTCCAGATAGACGGGGTGGGGAAAAATGAAGAAGAAAGAGAAAGAAAAGAAAAAAAAATGGGAGAAAAGAAAGAAAAGAAGGAAAAGGAAAAACGGAGCCATCCCGGCCGATGCATCGCGTTGCCACTAAGCGTTTACTAAAAGCCACGTCGTTCGCGCCAATCTAAAGTCTCATAAAACGTGAGAGAGATGCAAGAAGCGATGACATGATGACGCCTACTTGTGCCTACATGATCGGTGACCTACTGAATCTCTGCGCCGAACTACTTCGTTCTTGCGGTTTTTTTTTTGCCTTCCTTTTTCTTTTTTTTTTTTCATTCGTACTCATAGCGTCTAATAGGGTGTATAGTACAAACGCGGTTGTTGCTGCTGAACTCATCTTCGTTTGGGGGTTCGTTCGGGCTCGTCTATCGAATAAACTTTACACGGTCGGTGCACATGCGACAAAGAGAGAACGATCCGCGTGCAAGTAGAGGAACATACCAAGAAGGGCTGATAGAGACAACATCCCTAGCGATTAACCCTAGAATTCCCGAGTTGCTACGTGAATTGACAACGACAGACTTTTGGACATCGAACCGAGATACGTACAGTGAGTCTCGAGATCATTCACTAGACGACATCAGTATCAATATTCTTATCAATGAGTATGCCAGGGGAATTAATCAAATTCGTCACGAGATACGTGGTCGTTGGTAAAAAAATTTCAAAAGTTGTACAGTCTCGTTTGGAAGGTCTAAGATTAATACTACTAGGGAAGTCGAACACCGCGTACGATCTCTTAGACAGAAGCTGAACGCGTCAAACTGTTTATGGTCGTTTTAACGAGCATGTCCCTGCGTGAATTTCCCGCGAGATGCGTGGACAAATCTGGAATATATTATTTCGGTTGCTCGGCCTGGACGGAGAACTAAAAGCAAGGAGCCTCCTGTTGCAGTCGACGCACGCGGACACGCTCGAATGACTTTAGGTCGCGAGAACGTGCGATCGCCAGAACGAACGATCATGGGAAAAAAAGTTTCAACATAAGGCTTTCCTTATAAAAAGTACGAAATTGCATAAATGTCGGCGATCTAATAATAACGCGAGACCACGGCGTCTTCCTCTTCGTCGAGGAGGGGTAAAAATACATCTGGCAATCTACTTCGCACAGCAGTCTCTACTCGTCACTTTTCTACAATCCAACTCTCGGTATGCGGCCTCTTGCTTTCTCTACACAGGGAGATATATCTGTCTACGTGTTCGGTCATGTATCACGTATCGATCGTAGTTTACGGTTTATCTACACGCGGAGCGCTATTCAACGTAGCTGTGTGGATGCAGGAAACGTGTGTAGTGGCTGCGTGACTCGTGAGAAAGAGGAGGAAAATAGAAGTTTTAAAATGGCCGTACCGCTTGTAATTTGACGGCATATTACGAAACCTAAAAAATAAACAACAGAACAGAGATAAATAACAAAGGAAATCAATCGGGCGAGATCGTTAGAGAAATCATTGTTAACGAATCGTTATCGTTACCGATACTCTCTGGATTCATCTGTGACTGAGAGAAAGAAAGAAAGAAGAAAAAAAAAAGAGAACGGAACACACACACACATACATACACACACACACACATACATACACACACACACACACAAGCACACGTGCCCGTCGAAAACGGACTGAAAGAACGTAGCGATGAAAGAAAAGAGAGTGATCTGATCGTGCGACACGTCGCGGCCGCCGACTCGACCGACGATGGATTTATTAATGTAACCAGTGAAACCCCTTCGGATAATCCTGTTAGGCGATATTGAAGGTTATTAAATATCTGCACACCTTGCGGTTCGCTCCCCTTCCGAAACGTTTCAATTACTTGCGCGCGCGCGCGTGTGTCATTTCGCGGTTTTCGTCTCGAACGAGCCGCACTTTGTCTCGTCGCGTCGTCGACGCCGTTTCAATGGGCAGAGTGAAACAGACAGGGAAGGGAGGGATGAAGAAGAAGAAGACGAAGAAGAGGGGTAAAAAAAATTGGTCAGCGACTCGCAGATTGAGGCCAGCGTGGATTAACGAAGCACGCGCCGTTCCGATTCGTTTCTACAGATTCCTCGGGCGTTGTTGCGAAGCGACCTCGAGGCGACCGCGGAAACGCCACGCGTTCGCTCGATGAAAAATCGAGGGGTCCAGTGTAATAAGAAACAGCGTAATAACAGTCGGTAGAGTATCAATCAGCGTGTAATTAAGACACTAATTTTTTTTTTTTTTTTTTGACGCCAGAATTAATTCTCTAGATTGATAATTGATTAGTCGTAAACGAGCCGCTTTAATCTCTCTCTCTTTCTCTTTCGAAACACTTTCTAAGATACACCGAGACGTTCTAATTAAAATTCGAGAACCTTTAGAATTAAGTATGATCGTTTTAATAAATACGATCTGAACTGACTATGACGTACTGATCATAATTAATAACAAAAATCTCGCTTTTCTACGTATTTTCTGGCGTAACTCCATCTTGCAACGGACCTCTCGATCAATTGATCAGACGAACGCGGAGAGGATAGGGGAATGGGTCCCCGGCCGCCGAACTTTTCACCGGCGAAAGATCCAACAACTTTCTCTCTCGTGTGGATTTTCCACGCTGTATCGTGCAATTTTCAACGAGGCCCCGGGCTCAACTTTCGGATATTATTATTCGAGCACCCTCGAGTGGAAGAGGGTCGGGCCGCCAGATAAGGCGATTGATTGCGAACGAGAAAGCGAACGAGACGAAGCGTACGTAGGCCGGCGAAACCGCGTTACACCCCTCGAGAAAACGTGCCTCGAGAATTCCAAGCAAGCATCGTACGAACGAGGAAACGAATTTTCAAAAGATCGGGACCAATTAGAGCTGGGAATGGTGGTGAAACCCAGAGAGAGACACAGACACGGGACAAAGCGGGCGGGTTGCGGTCGAGCACTGTGATTCCATCCTTTCACGATATTCTCGTTCTTGCGACACAGCAGCACGACCGTGGTCGTGGTAACCTCGTGGATGTTCGATCTTTCGCGGTTCTTCGAGTGGCCACCGAATTAGGGCCACGAACAATTCGAACGACACTGTGCTGCACGGTAATTAATATGCACTCGACGCTCCTCTTGCTCTCACGTCACCGTCACGAACATCGATTGTCGAAACACTGACTGTCCCCTTGGAAGAACAGAGGCACTCGGGCAGAGGGATAAAACAGGCGTAAATCACCGAACTCTCCGAAGCT